CCACCGGGGTAACATGCACCGTTCGGAAATCATTGTATACGCTAAAATCCATATATTAATTATTTCGCGAATTGCAACGAACTCCAGGATGCTTGTGCCCCGTCAGACTCCTCATTGGCCAGTGCATTCCTGTCCTGTATCACTCGTCTTGCCGCCTCTTTCTCGCCCCCTCATGGGTTCGCATATTGGCTATTCCTGGATCAAATCACACTGTGGTGTAGTTGACATATTCATGGCTCTTTTTCTCCATCAAATGATGTTTTAGTTTAAAGCTGCCAAAAATGCACCGGTTTTTCACTTCCATTTCACCGATAATTTCGTCGATTTTGGTGCTGCTCCAATTCACGGGTGATGCGCCGACGCGGAAATAACTAGGAGCTTTACAGTTCTTGATAGCCCGTAATCTGTGGTGTTGCGAAGTTGGCAGGTCTGACCATCGATGGCCCGTTCAGAGTATAAATGTTCCTTATACACTTGGGTGCCCATTTCCCTACTCGGGTCGGTGCTTAGAACTCTCGGCTAGAGCCTTAGTGATCCGCGAGGTAATACGATGGTGTTTTCTTGGCTGCTAAGAAAGCCATTAGAGTCGGGTTGACAGACCACTGGCTAAGAACACAGGCACTTACATTTATTTTCCAGTCCAAGACGTTTGTGTGTTAGCCCTTGCTGTCCCAGAGATGCCAATCCCGGAATGCTGCAAGACTCATTTCCCACCAGAAAAATGGCAACGGAAAATATATTGCATTTTTTGCATAGTTCTCTTCGAAAAAGTTAACGAAAAAGGTTTACTACGCAATACGCACGTATTGTGTTCTTTTGCGTATGGGTGCTATTGAAGACTGATGCTACAATATCATTATGTTGCGAACATTCCTGAGACATTTGACTGACACATTATTTATCTTGAGTTATTGATTAAAAATGTATTCCACTCCTCGTGCAACTACGTCTTTCCATTACATTCTATCTACCGTATACTTATATGAGTTATACCTACATTTTATCCTCACCATACACCTACCTATTCACTATTCAGTGTCTTCAATCAATGCGAGGAGATGCTGTTCGCTGTTGCTTTGCTCAAGAGCGTGTTTTTTTTTCAAGCTGTCGACCTGTGCTCTTGCCTTTACATTACACCGGTGACATCCGTGTTTCGTTGTCATGACAACCGATACGAACAAGCCAACCCAATTGTTCGTTAGCGCGAACTGAAGCGTATCGACGTCAGTCTCAGCTCCTCTGGCGTCAATTGGCCGATCAGCTCCTAAGAGGCAGACAGAGGGCTGTTGGATCCGCGTGTTGTCCTGGTAACGGAGACTCACGGTCGGGTCTTTATATGAGAGAGGCGCGTCTTGGGACCGCGCACACGGACGGTGCGGATCGGTGTGAGAGGAACGGCGGGAGCGTGTAGATAGTGCTATGGACTGCAGCTAAACACCGGTGAGTAGGTATATGAATTTTAAAGGAAACAGTTCACTTTCCTGAAATTAGTATTTTGCTATTGATTTATGATTTTTTATGCTCAAAATGATCATGAAATAAAATAAAACCTTTTTGTAAAAACATTTTTTTTCAATATTTTAATATAGGACGAACTATATTCTATGTAAAATAATGTTTGACGCGGAAGCTTATTACGCGTTGACCAATCATATCGCGTAGTTCAAACCTACGCATACTGAATTGGCTGTAAGCAGCATGCTGATTGGCTGACGATGATGTGGCTGCATTCCTGTGCAAGGCACACATTCCTCTGCAAGGCACTCTTTTCGGAACGAGAAATGGAATATCTTCGTCTAGGGTGATCATTGAGCCGTAAAAGCTCCTGATTTGTGCTAGTCTCAGCTCAAGCTACGAAACTGCTATTCCAGTTCAAAACCCCATGTTAAAAGTGAACTATTTCCTTTAAGCCGGTGGGTAACACGTTCCGCTGGGGCTCCCGGATTTCCACACCCTGGGAGGGGGAGGAGGGTTGAACACTCCCACTCCCGTCTAACTTGGTTCCTGGGCCACATAGCGACGCGCGGTAAGCGGCTTCGAAATAGCGTTAAAATAATGGAGAAATTATCTAACCCATTTATAGGGCGGGTCAAGTCAGGTCACCAGAGGTCGTCGGTCAAGTGGCGTTTATTTGGACGTTTTTTGACAAATCGGCGCATAACTCGGAAACGAACAGAAATGGGTACACAGCGCCTTAAAAGGGCTCATTCGATTGCTCTCGTGGAATGTATTCCGCCAGTGTGTCCTCGGTACCAGTTTAGCCTCCAAAGGGCAGAAACTGTTGTCGTTTTTGTTGACAATGTTTTCCTGAAATAATGTCATTTTCTCACATTGCCTCATCCCTCCGACACCACGGTCACCTGACCGACAGCTCAGCCCGCCCCGCTGCCGTCACCAGCCGGTCTGCCCGGGCCGCTGCAAGCACCTGCCTCTAAGCCCGTCACCGCTCCGATCACCGGCTGCTCCTTCCACTGCACTGCGGTCACCGGTCAGCCCGCGCCGCCGCCATGCTGCTCTGGCTGCGAGTGGCCGTCGGTGCCACGCTCACCGTCAGCTTTGCCGTCCCGCTGGGCATCATCGCCCGCGACGGTAGTCTGCGCGAGGAGCCGATGACGCTGTTCGTCATCAACATGACCCTGGTTGACCTGGTGTTCGGCGCGCTGTTCATGGCCACCGGTCTGGCGGACGTGGTGTTCACCGGCGGCGTGCCGGCGCCCCTCTGCGCCACCCTCCAGTACCTGCTGTTCGGCTGCGGCGTGGCCTGGAAGGCCGCCACACTCTGTCTGGCGCTGGATCAGTTTATCGCCGTGGCACACTCTCTGCGCTACAACGCCATCATGTCTGCGTGGACGCCGCGGCTGGTGGCACTCACCTGGTGCTGCGTGCCGCTGATGGGCGCGTTCGGCTTCACCTGCTACCGGCTGGGCCTGGAGTCGAGCGTGGCGTTCGACCGGCGCGTGCTGGGTGTGGAGCGGCACATCTCGCAGTGCCGCTGGGAGCTGAACGCCCACCTGTTCATGGTGGTCTCCGAGGTAGCGGTACTGCTGCTCTCGCTCTGCTCCGGCGTCCTGTTCGTCTACACGGCCGTCCAGGGCGCGCGCCACGAGTGGCGCCTGCACCCCAACAACCGGCTCCTGGTGCGCTTCAAGTCGTTCCAGCGGATCGTCAAGGTGCTGCTGGTGGTTGTCACCATCGACGTGGTGGCGGCCGGCGTGCGCGTGGGCTCGCGCTGGTCGGCGCAGCTGTACGCCACCACACTGGTGCAGCTGCTGCGCGTGCTCTGCCTGCTGGTGGAGGGCTGGACGTACGGCCTGACCCAGCCGGCCGTGCGCTCGGCACTCTCAACCTTCTTCGGCTGGCGTCGGAGCCGCGTGGGTGACGTGACGCCCTCCGAGCTGCGCCGCCCGACCAACCCCTCCTCCGAGTGGGCCGAGAGAGCGGCCACCGAGTCGCCGCGCTTCTAGACAGAGGAGCACGCCCGTATTCCCAGTCATGGAAGATTTATTAGACCTGTGGTTGTGATGTGTGATATGTGTATTGTGTGTAATGTGTGTTTATAACGTAGGTAGCTTTAGGACAGGATAGGTTAACTCCTCATACCTACATTACATGACGACATTTTCAGTTACCTACCGCAGATACCTGCATAAACTAAATGCATATAAGAAACGGTCTATAATGCGAAGCTCAATGTGTAGTGCAGCTAGTGTTTGTGATACGCATTTGACTGTTGCTCCTCGTGAATCTACGGTAGGAAAGTGTCCCGCACAAGCTACATGAAGCAGCGGTGATGCCCTGGGGTAAATGTGTTCACGTGTCGCATCTGTCTGCATAATTTAATTCGTTTAATTACTAATGAGTAATGGCAAAGATGATTCGAAACGGCGCAATGCGCATGTTAGTTATAAATGCCATTATTTATGTTTATATGTATTTATGTGCTAGCGCGTCTAATGTTGGTGCCGGTTCTCATAGATCTATATGATCTCTGTGTATACCGGTTCTCACGTAAAGACATGTTAGTTTCGCAGCGCATTTGATGTTCTTACTTCTTTTATGAACATTTATGTTAAAATTGCACGCTGATTGCTCGGACAGTTGGCAGGAAGGATTTTTTTCGTGATTTTCGTTGTGCGGCTCTTTTAAAGGGACCCTCCCACCTTCAAAAAAGTTGATGAATTGGCACGAAAGTGATGTCGCTCGGTTCGGAAAGAGCGAAAACGAATATCTACCAAATTTCATCGAAAAATATTCACCGGTTTTCAAGATATTAGACTTTTACTTTTGTTTACTTTTTGGGATCTCCGCTGTTCCTAGCGACTTTATTTGAAAGTGCGGCATTTGTTGCGCGCAAAGCAGCATATACCACCGCGTGCTACCAAACGTTTTAGTAAAAGATTTAAAAATCGTTAGATCTCCGCTGACGTCACAAATTCTAAGGGGGCATACCAATGCACTAGCCCCTTAGAATCCGAAAACTGCAAGTTTGAAATTCCATATCTCCGAATTAAAGCATTTGTCGATGTTGTGAGTGCCCAAACCGGTATTTGCAGGCCATGGCCACCAATTTGGCTATCTCAACTCAAAACTAATGTTAAGGTGGGAGTGTCCCTTTAATACTACCGTAGGACAAATGAGTCTGTGACGGCGCCTCTATGACGATGTTCTCAACACATCAAGTTGTCAGCTTTGTGTGCGTCGTGTGATTCATCAACTGATGTAACTTTCTGCCGATAATTGCTTCTCTCACTGTTGACTAACGCTGACTGGACTTCCGAGTGATGTGCTGCTGTTATATGTTATTACTTTTCTGTCTATAGAGTTGTCATAATCGAGCAAGCAATGACCGTGCTTTCTGTTATTCGTAAGTCCTGTCAGCGCCAATCATCCACGAATCAAGTGATGGGGTGGAAAAAGGAAAAGAACAGTCGAATGGCCGGTCAGACACGAATCTTTGGTTCACCGGAATCCGATTCCAATTACGCCTCCTGAGAATGGCGTTCTCTTTGTTCGGCTTTTATTCACGCCACCGACAATCAGTCCGGTATGGCGGTTATCACATGTCAGGTCACACAGCGAGCTTGGGGGAGCCGGCGGCTGGACCGCGGGGCCACGGGAGCACCCGCGGCCGGTCGGAGAGGAAGGGACCGGTGCGGGTCTCCCGCGCCCTCTTTGGCACGTGTACGATCACCAGGGTCCCCAGTCCCTTCGGTCGGTGGCCCGGCGCGCTGGGTCCTCCAATGCCGCACATTTGGTAGTCTGAAGATGGGTCGCAGTCGGCCTGACTTCAGAAGATGAGTCAGGCCTACTGCGAGCCAGCAACAGGCTCAAGCGACAGCAACACATCAACACATGTAATCTACAATCAACTCTTTGTCACTCATTTAACACCAACATGAAGTAGAACCATCCAGTTGGTATGCCTCTGCTTCGGTACAATAGAACAATCGCTGGACATTCTCTCTCCCGTGCGTAACACAATGTCGAAGCGCGTGCGAGACACTCGTTCGCAGATCCTGTTCGGAGTCCTGGTTCTCGTCGGGTCGTTATCCATTCTCAGTCGTTCGGCGGACGCGGTGGGCGGTCCCTCGTTACGCCACGCCCATTTCCTCGTCAATGAGCCGGTCGGTGGCGGCGACTCTCTCGGGCTGTTCGACCGGCGGCGGTCCGGCGGCGGAGGCCGGCCGTGAGTTGATGACCCGCGCGGACACCGGTCGAGGCGCCGCCTCCGCAGCAGGCGGCGACTCTTCCGCCTCCTCCCGGCGCTTCTTGCTCTCCTCTCGGTCCTGATCGCGCCGCTTCTTCTTCTTGCGCCGCTTCTCGCCGCCGGCCGGGGCGCCGTCGTCGGCCAGCGACGTCTCGGGGATGCTGGGGTCCCGAGAGCGCTTGTACTTGATGCGCGAGTCGGTCTTCTTTTGCGACTCGATGATGCCTACCTCGGCGGCGAACCAGTGCACCTTGGCGACAATCTGGTCCTGCATCATCTGGATGCACATACTGATGAGCGCCATACCTACGGTGACGAAGAGAGATGTTATTAGGCGGGCGGCGAGGCCGCGAGCGCAGGATAAAAACGGCATTATTTCCCTAATTATTATTGATTTAACGGAAGTAGCCCCTTTTTGTGGCTTTTAGTCGATGGAAAAAACGGCAGATACATGATGAGTTTTTGCGTTTCAACTCGTCACATTTCCTGCGCACAATATGCCTGTTTTTCCGAATATCGAATATATGTACCTATAGAATAGCTAATTAACATTTAGTGAATAATTGGTAAACGTTATGCATGCCTTTGTACGCACCGAAGATGCAGTAGAGAATGGTGACCATCATCTTGAACGCTGCACTTGCACCATCTTTGTAGTCGAGGAAGCTGAGAAGGGGGAAAGACGTTTATCGAGCAAGTGAAGCAGGTTGTTGTCAATCACTTCGAATGATCTTCTTAGTATACGACCTTTTATGCGGGCTATCTGGTATTTTTTTTTTTTATACCGGGGCCGCAACTACTAAATTGGGTGCTTCCTTTACACTCATTGCCATTTGCTAAAATGCCTGTTGGTAACGCTTATGGGGTCGCGGGGCGTAAAGAAGTGCTACTATTATATTTACAGCTACACTGAGTTCGCCGGACCGTCCCACTCGGGGCTGACCTGTTTCCGGGCACCATATCTCCGAATCCGATGGTGGACAGGGTGACGAAGCTGAAGTAGCACGAGCTGCCGATGTCCCAGCCCTCCCAGTTGGAGAAGATGACGGCGCCCATCATCAGGTAGAACACAATCAGCACCATGTTGATTGTGATTGGCACCATCACCTGGAAAGCAGCGTACTCGGTTAGCGCGAGTGTCACCTAAGCGAAGCCACATTAAAGAAAAAAATAGACGGGCCGCATTTAAATCGGTTTCAATATGAAAGTTAATCGGGGTAGTCTTTCAAATACGCGTTTGATATGTAAAAGACACCCTGGCTGCTACTCCAAACTTCAACGAATGGGAAAGTCCTGCTTACCATAACCCGTTGGCCGGCATGTTAGTCTATCCTCACCTCGTTGGTGGGCATGTAGGACTCTGAGCCGACTTTGTCGTTGGCCAGTCGTTTGACCTTCTTGCCGAAGCCGGCCTCTGAGTGGTACCGGCGACTGCGGCACCATCGGCAGCAGACGCGACTGCAGGACAGACGGCATGCTGAACAGCTGCGCCATGAAACGCTGGCCGCTTCTGTGCGTCATTAGTCTGGTACAATGACGAGTGAGCGTTGCGAGACAATAAACATTATTGACCCGATAAGTTCGGAGGCATGAGTGTAACAAATGCTATTGTGGTTGAACGAGAAACAGGTTGGAGCTTTGAAATGAATCTACCTCACCTTTTAGATTAATACATAAAACCGAGCTCACAGCATAAATGGTGGGTTATTGAAGGCCAAGCTATACCAAAAGACGACTAAGGAAGCTCGCCTTTTGACACAACCTTCGATCGCAGACACTATAAAGGAAAATTGGCCAGCCTAGCTCAACCTTGCGTTGAACAGAAGCTCCTGACAATGGTTATATCGACAATGCTCCCTATAAGACGCTGACGTCAAACGAGCTTGCTGGCATTATTATCGTGACATTTTGTACCTTGAACCGGGCTGCTAGCGTCCAACGATAGTGGCTATATTTTCAGTCATGCGTTCATTACGCGGCCGATAGTCTGCAGAAAACCTTGTACCTACTAGCTGTCGTCTGATAGAAGCCTGCGGCTGAATAGTGGTCCCGAGCAAATGGGTACTGACAGATAATTGTTCCATATTTCCTCTTGTAGAAGCACCTAATGCACTGTCAACTCTTTCAGGGGACGATCGATAGCGGTACAACGAAACGATATTCCAAGGCTCATATATGCAGTATAAAAGCAAAGTTTTTTTGTACACACAGTCAGGGGCGGATCCAGCCGATCCGTTTGGGGAGGGCAAAAGTTTAGCCGACCATCGGCGACTCCGACCCACCACCGCGCCAGTGACCAAGTTACTTCACAACGCCAGTTACACCATCTTACCGTAAGATGGTGTAAAATGGCTTATGTTCACCCGTGCCCAGCCGCGCTGGGGCTCCTGGATTTTCACGCCCCTGGGGGATGTTTGAACGTCCATATCCCTTCTAACTCGGCTCCTGGGCCACGTAGCAACACGCGGTAGGCGGCGTTTGAAAGAGTGTCAAACATAATGACCAAATTACCCCAGTCACTTTTAAGGTCAGGTCAGATGTCAGATCACCAGGGCCCATCAAAGGCCAAATCCCGATAATACATATTTAGGTCCAGTTTCGACAATTTTTGAAGAACTGGCGCATAACTCGGAAACGAATAGAGCTAGAGCGCCCCAGAAAAGCTAATTTGATAGCACTGTTACTGCTCTTTCTGGATAATTCGCTCAGATTGGACCTAAGATCAACGGTTTAGCCTCCAGGGGAAACTGCCATAATATATACTATTTTTACGGGAACGGATTTTCTGCGATAACTTTTGAATCAAACCTTGTGCGATCTTACTTTTACCGGCATCGTGTTCCTCTTGCGAAGGCGCGTCGAATGAGTTATAATTTGATCTTAAAAAGTGAACCTACAACTTTGACATTTGGTCAAGTCATGACCTGACCGGAAAAGGTCGTATTGCATATCAGTCGATCCGTATCGTAAAGCTGAACGCATCTAAGGTGTTTCTATTGCTCTAGAATGCCTCCAGCAGAAGTTATTAGCGCATTGCTGCAAACTATTGCATATCTTTCGTGACCTGAGATGATCTCAGGGACATAAGGAGGGGCCCGGGTCACGGGTGCTATTTTCCGGTTCACTGTGTGCTGTTTAGGTTGTAACTCGGTATTGTTAAGAGTGACGTTTCTTATAAATTTAGCACGAATGTTTGAAAGGGCGGATTGACGGGAGCTGGACCTACGCTAAGCAGAGCTTGTTGCGTAGATCCCGACCCCTACCGTCCGATCGCGTAATTCCGGGTGACAGGAGAATTTAGTTTAACGTTTAACGATGCCAATGTTTTACGTGCTCTTCGAAGCCGGACACGGCCTGTCCCACTCCTGACTTTGAATGCCTGCGGCTGCTCCCACCAACCTCAGACCATCCCCGTCAGGAGTCTCAAATATCGAGCGCCGGAGCGACTCAAACCCGGGCTCTCACTACCGGGAGTCCACTGCTTTACCAACTGAGCTACCGGACAGGAGGTTTGCCCAAAAAAAGGTGCCTTTCAATTTTCTCTTATTGACTTATAGTGGAGAGGTCGCAAAAATGACCTAGCCCTAGGTCATCGATATAAAAATCATGTGACTAACAATTTGTACGTAGGTACTGTTACCCTTATTAACTGCTGAAAGTTTCAAAGCGATCCGTCACTCGGTTTAGCTATGGCAAGCATTGGAACTGTTTTTAGGTTATACAGCTTAGTGACTTCGTGACCTTGAGAGACCTTGGTCTGACATTTTCAGAACATATGCAAAAAATAGGTATAAAATGGCGGCTAGGCACGTCGCCGTTTTTTTTTTTACGCGGAACGCTCCACAGCAATGTGGCTCCCAACAAATGACAAAACTGTGGATTGCTTAGGTAATTTCGAATATACCGAGGTAGGGTGGTGGGCGTCTTACCGACTGGGCATCTTGCCCCGTGTTACCCCACACCATGGCCATTGGCCACACTGCATATGCTTATGCATGCATTCAGTTCAGGGGGTTCAATCTAATATCAGCATATCGACCCAAAATATCAGCAGCCAGTGGTCAGCTCCTTCCTTCGGAATGGCCGTCACGGAAAGAAGCCCTGCTTTTCGTCCATATAGGCATCGACGCCGTATTAGATTTGCTCATCGCTACATGCTTTGGGAGGGGCAAAAAGATAGTCTTGCCCACACGATTTGGCTTTGGGGAGGGCAAATGCCCATTTTGCCCTCCCCTGGATCCGCCACTGCACACAGTTTCCAATAGGTTTAATGGGTGTGCTGCCTCATCAGTGTCCAACCTTTTCGATGTCATAAAAGAAATTGGCACCACTTACTGCAGTTCAGCTACACGAGGCGACTTTTTTATTGCAGCGTGGTTTCTGCACGAGTCTGCCCATCGTGCATTGACGCTGCTAGGAATCGCTTGATTGACTCGATACGCATTATCCGACACCCGTGACAATACACAAGCTACCAAAGGCGTTAAATAATGAGTATAAGGCACAATATAGGACTCGACTCCGGCGTCAGCCCAGTCAGTGCAGCGGGGCTGTGATTCGGTCGCCGCGCCTCTCACCTGTAGGTCAGTGCGTTGGCCATGGTATCTCCCTCCGTATCTCACCTGGAGGTCAGTGTGAAGGCGCTGCCGCCTGCCTTGGCGCCACCGCCTCTCACCTGTAGGTCAGCGTGAAGGCGCTGGCCATCGTGTCGCCCACGTTGGCCAGGTAGACGAGCAGCAGCGGCGTGCCGATCATGGCGTAGCAGATGGTGAACATCTGTCCGGCGAACGTCACCGGCGAGATGTGGCCGTAGCCGATCGTCGTCATGATGGTGATGGTGAACAGCAGCGACTTGGGGAACGTCCAGTCGTAGTTCCAGTCGTTCACCGTGCCGTCGTAGTTGTAGGCCTCCACGGCGTTTATGATAAAGGTCTCCATGGTTTTAAGGTTGTCTTTTACCTGTGCGTGCAGTGAGTTTATTGGGAACTTTAGGAAAGAAATACAGCTGGTATGTGCATGTGTTGTTGTACATGTATGTAAATACCTACATGCATCATTTGTGTGTTGATATCGCTCTCGTAAAAATAGATTGTAGATTTTTACCTACAAGACACTGCAGGATCTAAATAAGTACACACTTAGACCTATTTAAAGCGTTCATGGTCATTATCTAAAGCTATTACGAAAACGAAATCATGGAGCATATTTGAAACGAGCTGCACATTTTGTTTTCACGAGCTGCAGAAGTGCTATTTCATTTAGGTACAGTGCCATTAAATTAGCACAATGGCTGCTCATGCAACGTTTAGCGCTATTCTTGCCCCAAATACCTATAGCAATGTCCATCATAACACACAGGATCGCATGCGGAGCAGGCGAGCATATGAAAACGCCCGAATGCACGCACCTTACGGTCCCACTGGACAAACGTCATGTTCTTGCCCTGGTAGTGCCAGAACAGGGAGCTCATGTAGTTGTAGGCATCCTCTACGTCGGCGGCCCGCACCTTTTTCAGGGCGAACCGCTGCTCCTCGGCCGGCAGTTCCAGCTGTATAAACGCCCACGCTCCTGAGGTTAGTAAGACCGGAGCGTGAGGGACGCGGCTGCTGAGGTGTGTAATGGTACTGAGGAATAGCTCGTGATCGGCTCAGCACCGTGAACATGGGTCTCGCAGGTATACATTATTTATATACACTGTGGTATACATGATATTGTGCAGCCGCGTGACGGGTCTTTTTACGAACCAATTTTAGTGATGAAGGATCAATTTCGTAAAATAGGCACGGCATCCTACTTTTTTTGTTGTAAATATTCAAATATCCCCACCCAACTGATTTGGTAGTATTAACCTTCGCCCTGGTGGGGGGGGGGCCATTTTGGCCCCCCCCCCTGTGGTTTTTCAGCGATAACTCAGAAACCACTTGAGTTAGCGCCCTGAAACTTTGTATAGCTGTTTATTCAACATTTTTACATCATGTCCTGTTTTGGGGGGTTCGGGTCAGGTCAGGTCAGGTCACAAGGTCACCAAAACTGACACCACCTCTAAAAAAGTTCAAAGCTCTCTCAAAGGCACAGCTTTTATCCGATCGATGTAAAATTTACAGTACTTGAAGATGTCACCCAGCTCTACAAAATGGCTATCTCGGATTTTTTATAAATGTGACCTAAGGTCAGGTCAGGTCATCGCTGCTCCCCATTATAAGTCAATGGGAGAATCGAAAAGTAGTTGTTTTTCAGCTAAATCGGGCGTGATTGATCCTATATTTCGTTATTGAAGTGTCTTGGGTCAGCAAATCACAGCCCATGTGAAACCATTTGCTTGTGACCTCGCTGAGGTCACGCTAGGTCATCTCCCTGGTCACCAGAGGTCACCAGCGGTTTTTCTGCACTTACTTGTTATTGAATAGAGATAGAGACTCCGTTCGACGTTTATCGTGTTTGTCTCGTCAATGCGGATCGAATGATATGCAGCATGACCTATTTCGGTAAGGTCATGACCTTGACCTGAGGTCAAATTTTCAAAATGACCTTTCGAGGTCAAGCTATATATCATTCGACGCGTCTCGACGAGCCAAGCACGATGGTGCATGAATCGTTTCTCTATTTTCTCGTGAATGCATGCTATAGTTAAAAACATTTTCAACAAAATTTGCCAAGTTGACCTTGCATGACCTCTGTAGGCCAAACCGTTGAGCTGAGGTCAAATCTGACGAACCTTGGCGAAAGAGCTTGAAAAGAGCTATCGATTGCTTTTTTCCGCGGCTCTCTAGCTCTTCTAGTTTCCGAGCTACAGCGGAATATGTCCGGCAACACCGAAAACACTGAAATTTGACCTATGATGACCTCTAGCGACCTCAATATTGACCTTAGCGAAAAAATGACCGAAATACTTTCGAACGTACTTGTTATGGGCTTTCGTTTGCTTTTTTCCGCGTCTTCCTAGCCCTCTTCGTTTTCGAGTTAGACGGGGGGGGTCATTTTGGCCCCCCCCCCACCAGGGCGAAGGTGGCTCAGACCCACACCAGGGCGCGGGTTAATCATTCTGCCGCACATACTATTTATGTGTTCACTTATAAGTGGACGGTGGCGGCTGGCAATTTTTATTATGTGGCGAACGAGACTAGTCGGTGGACAATATAAAAAAAAAATGTTGCTACTCATTTCTGCACCATCTGGTCAAGATAAGGAAAATGGGCACAAGCGGCCTGTAGAAAAACAAACATTGAAAGAAATCAAACCTTCTGGCTTCCTCGATTCCACTGACCAATTTCGTTCCCATATTTGTACTACGGATTGCGTAAGGACCTTCAAAGTTCAAGTTGACATCGCATTACTGAAGAGCGGCAAACATGTTTGCAGTTCGGTCATATCATGCGAGCGGCTACAGTCGCAGATACCGAGTAATAACTGTTTTTCACTCGGCCGCTTGTCTGGCAAATTTTCTTCTGCGACAAACACGTGATCGATTTGGGCGCGGAAGTTGCCAGGACGGCCCAGTGGTGTTTTGGCCGTCTCCGCGGTGACCCCGTGTGCTTTTCCCACCGTGCCATACCGATAAACACGAATGTCCCGAGGGACAGTCGGCCGTGAGTGTCCCCCTCTATTTGGCCGCGTTGCCGGGGTACCGTCCATCGGACGGGGGCCAGGTCACACAGACAACGATTGACGGGACACGCGTATTATATATGAGCCGCCGACCCGGGGCTCGCTGCAGTGAGTGAGCCGATCTATACCCGACATTAGTTCAGTTCCAGGTCGGATTTGTGTCAGCGGCCAGTCCACAGGTGGTCGTTTGAGTCGGCATGAAATTGCGACGTGCGCAGGTCGCTACAGAGCGTGACAGGCTAAAATGAATCATTCAGTCCTTCGAATGTTATGAGAGGCGTAAATGAATGTCTCATCATGTCTTTAAAGCATGTGAATGCCATGCAATGGGTTAATAAAAAGTAAAAACGTAGAGGCTGCGTGGAGGAACATATTCGCCGTTACCCCCTCATATTGGCGAAGTGTTTAATTTTAGACTCGTGCAGGTGCATGGTTGGCACACGCTTCAGGACACCGAGGGAATGAATGAAATTAACGAAAAAGCTGCCGTCATGCGATCATGAATCATGTAATGCGCCCGTAGACGTCATGTATGTGATATAATCAAAATGCAACATGTACAACAATGTAAGGTAGGTATTTACAACAGTAAGCACTCACCAAGGGCGGCGACTCCACCCACGAGAAAGAACAGGCCGACATGTCCGAATAGGAACCTCAGGAAACGCTGGTAGAACGGCGTCGGCTCTTGGTATATGGCTGGGGGCTACAACGAAATGGTGAGTCAATAGGAAAATTCAAACACAATAATTTGTAAGAATACTGTTGAATGCCTGTCTGTTGCTATGTTCATATTTCTACCTTTCCTTCTGCGTATTTCCTATTCTCTCTTTATCATCCTCTCTAATATCAATTTCATTACTTTCTTCCGTAAAGACCGGCATATCTTTGAAATATGCGTTTCTGTAACATTTGCACTTTAACCCTCGCCATGGTAGGGCATTTTTCATAACGCAGTCTGGCAAAATGTGTGTGTGTGTGGGGGGGGGGGTCGATGCCACCCCCACCCCTGCGTTTCGAAACTAAGCCTCGTAACGCTGTGCAACAAAGACCAGCCGATTACTCTCAACGAGTACCTACTCGTAATTGGTGATATATTTTTGACCCGAGGTCAATATTTGACCCCCTTATGGCAGGTCAATTGTCAAATTTCGGGGAAAGCTATAATTTTCCAAATCATTTAATAGCTAATATTGGCGAATCTATGAAAGATACCGACATGAAACCTTCACGACAGTGTTTCTCAACGAATTAGCGACAAAGTGATATAGGTATAGCTGACTGCATTTCAGTCATTACTGGTATGGCGTAATCACCGGGAACACGGGACTCGGCAGGTCACACCCGCCGCCGGTGAGGACGGTCGTAATTGACCTATTGACCTTGTAAAGGTCAAGGAACAGTTTTGAGGGCGTTTAGGTGAAAATTGAACCACAGATTCGGATTCAGGACAAAAAAAAAACACTTAACACGGTTCATATCACGGAGGTCAGCGTGTGAACATGCGAGGTCTTTGACCTTGGTTTACTTTTGAAAGGTTAGTATACAATGTAAAGATTCATTTCTTGTCCAAATCTGACATAAACCACACGGGTTAGTTTCGTTCTTGTCGATGAGATCACGTATGTACGCGGAATGTACGATTTTGTCAAAAACGGTCGGAAGTTGTATCTATTATGACGTCGTAGCTCGGTAATCTGACATGACCCGATAATATATTTTGTTACCAAAAGTTGCGCAACGGATGCCCATAGATTGAAAACTTCAGCACGATCCGGTCAATAGTTCAGCACCCATCGCAAAAAAACTCAGGGGGGGGGGGGCATCGCATCGACCCCCTTCCTACCAGGGCGAGGGTTAAGCTATTGCTATTGATGCATGTGTTTGTTGATTTTTTTTTTTGCAAATACGGTATCCATAGGTTCATTAGGATCTTATTATTCACGCATTCACACACTTTGAACAAGTTGTATTTCATTTTAGAGATCGGTGTCTTACCTGAATGCCACCGTCCAGCAGTGGGCTGCTAGAGCCCTTGGAGTCCATTTTCGGGCGCCTTACTGACGGCGGTCGAGTTGTCTAAAGACGCCCTCTAACCTGGAAACTGAACGCGTATTTACACACTTTAACACTTCCGAACATAACCAACGATATGGGCTAGTAATTTGTGTAATGCCAGTGTCAAAGTGTCCGTTAGGTAAATTCATGATACTGCAGGAGAATTATATGTTCAAGTGAGAGTAAGACAGATGGCAGTGTGCCTGAAGTAATCAGTGTCAATTGAACACCACATACGTTATGTTACGTAACCGTAAGTCTGCAGAATTAGCTCGTCACCTCCGCCCACTCACCATGGCTTGCCGGCCGCCGGGCCGCCAGCGCTGGAGGTGCTGTCCGCCGTCGGACCGGTCGGGGCAGACGCACTGGGACCGTCTGCGACCGGTGCCGCCCGGGCCGACCGACCACCCCCGCGGCTACTCCCCGCGGTCACAGCGAGTCGCCACGCTGTCACCAGCAACAAACACCGACCCCTCCCCGCCGCGCCGGCCCGACATGGTCAACGACGATCACCGATATAGCGGTCACCCGCGGCTCATCGGTTAACAGTTTCCACCAGGTTGTAGTAATGCAAAAAGTCCAGTACACTCAGATGCCTCTATTCACACCCGTACCCGCTCGTGTCCCGGAGCGCACTGCCCGGCTTCACCACATTAGCCTAGATCATACCTCTGTACACGTCATATCACGTCATATCACGTCATTCTGAACCCTAGACAAAGGCTGATCAATTTCTCCCTCCGCCGACTCACCGTCGCCATAAGACCCTGGCTCGCAATACGACGCGCACCATCATCGCTCGAACCACGCAATGACTAAGACACAGACTACACCTCACCCTGATCCTCAAGATCATCACTTCCGCTGCTGCTGTTTAACGCATCAATCGGCACCACGTGGCCGAAGAAGTCAGGCGGCCGCCGATTACGCTGACCTCGGCGCACCACCCTTTCGCCGCTGTCGCTCTCAGACCGGCCGCATTCACCACCCGCATCATCAGCCTCCTCCACCGGGCGCCCCGGCGCGCCATCGCCCTCATAACCGAATGTCATGACGATCGGGGACCCGGCACGGTCCTCCTCCGCTTCCTGTGGGCCCCCGCTGCCCCGGTCGGGGGTCCGAGGGCCTGCTGCTGGTCCCCCGGTGTCACCGCAGTGGCGGAGGTCTCTGATGTGCCAAGGCACGCCGCCCACTTCAACCACCTGCGGCGACACCACGCCAGACACCGTTCCTCGAACCGACCGCTCGGTGCAGCGGGTGCCCGGCCGCCTCACCCACACGGCGTCCCCCACCTGGAAGTCGCCCTCCCGCCGGGCTGGCGGCCGTCCTATCACGGCCTCCTCGGACGCTCCGGCGGTAGCTCTTTGTCTCACGGCGTCCCTCACAGGGTAGCGGTAGATGCCGTTGGCGGGCGCCTCAGCCGCCGTCCCGCCGTCACGGGGCGTGATATTGTACAGGTGCACGGCCTCTCCGATGCCACACTTCTTCCGCGCCGCGATCACTTTGACACTGCGGTGGTTCCGCTCCACGATGGAGTTCCCGCTGGGGCGATGCACTGCGCGGAAACGCAGCAGCACTCCCCAGCGGGCAGCGAAAGCGGCGAACTGACGACTGCGGAAAGCGGTGTCGTTGTCCGCCAGAAGCTCAGCCGGTGCGCCTCGCTCCGCGAACACTTGTTCGAGTTCACTCGTGACTGTCGCCGCGTCCGACCGCCGCAGCAGCCTCCACACACAAAACCGTGACGGGCCACAGTCTATCACCGACAAGTAGGACTGACCACCGTAGTGCGTGACATCGATGGCCAGCCGGTCCCACGTCCCCTCCACAGCCAGCGACCCGTGCCTCCAGGTCACCGGCGCCGGGTCAACCGCGCGGCAGACGTCACAGGCCGTCACCACTTCCCTGACCACTTTCCGGGAAATCGACGATGACACATCCCGACGCGCGAAATACAGCGTTCGTCGGACACCCGGGTGACCCGCCCTGACATGTACGTCAGTGACGGCCTGTCGGAAGTCCACGGTAACGGCGCCGCCGCCGTCTCCCACTTCCGATCCAACCACTGCCGCTGCTGCCACTGGCTGTCCATCGCTCGGCCGCTGGTCCGCTGGCTGCGAGTCCTGACGCAACCACAGGGACGGCACTCGGGTCAGCGTGTCCGAACGGTTCTGAGACGAGCGGACTAGAGACACGGTGAGAGAAATGCCCAGCTCTGCGACCAGCTGCCTGATGACGTCGACCCGCCGGCGGATAAGCATCTCTCCATGTGCCTTGGTTCGCAGTCTCGCGCGCCCGCTCAGAGCGTCGCTGACCCACCGGTGAACAGTGGCGGAGTCCGTCTTCAGCTCGATGGTCTTCATGTCCCACGCCAGGGCCAGGTTGATGCCCCGCACGGCGGCGTCGAGCTCCGCCATGTTGATGTGGGTGGCCTCGTCCCGGCGGAGCCAGCACGCGTCCTCGATGACGTCACCTCCCTCGCTCTCCAGCACGACGCCGGCGGCTATCGAGCTGGCGTCCGTCCACAGTACGGCGCGGTGCCCAGTCACGCACCACTGCCCACGGGCCGGGTCCTCGCTCGCCAGTCGCTCAGCCACGTGCTTCAGCTGTTCCCGCAGGGCCGCGTCGTGTGTGACGTCATCCCACCCGCGTGTGAGAGAGTTGACACGACGCTTCAGCCACGCTGTCGCTGGTCTCAGCCAACCGCAGACCGGCAGGTGCGCCACGATACGACCACACCATGAAAACACGGAGCGCCGCGTCATTGCCGCGGGCGGTGAGCCGACTGGGTTGTCACGCCTCCAGGCCAGCCCACCCCCGACTGGCTCCACACGCAGTCCCAGCAGCCGCGCTCCGTCCGCAGCCCGCTCCGGCGGCTTACACTGGAGCCCATAGCTCGCGAAGTGGGCGATCACGCGCTCCGCGCTCACCACGTCCTCATTGACGCACAGATCGTCGACGTACGGTATGACGGCGCCCTGCATCACTGGGTCCTGTTGCAGCACCGTCCGCACCACCGCCTTCATGATGAGAGGCGCGACGTTGAGCCCGAATCCGACACGGGTAAGAGCGTACCTTTGGCCATCAATCACGACTGTCTGAAACGGCCACAGCCGACGATCGGTCCTGAGCTGCAAGTACGCCCTCTTCAGGTCGACGACGGCGACGTTGGCCCCGTGCCGCCGCCATTTCCTCAGCGTGTCGGCACATACGTCAGCGTCGGCCGTGTGTGCCTCCACATGGCTGTTGAGCTCGCGGCAGTCTAAGACTGGTCGTACTTTAGTCTTGTTCTGCTGTTCAACAGCCATGAGAGGGATCAGCCCGCGCGGCGGCCCGTCCACCGTCTCGTCGTACGGCTCCAGCCAGCCGTTGTCGATCCATGTACGGAGTTCAGCATCAAACTCCTGCCGTGCCTCGGCCGGCACGCCGTACTGGGGGACACCGTTCCTCAGGCACCCTGGCTCCGCCCCGTTCCGCCACTTCCACGCCACCGTCCAGTGTTGACTTTTCGCGTCATAAGTGACCGTGAAGTCTCGCTCTTCCACGGTCAACGCCGGGGGCGTCACGGCGCTGCATCGCGGCGGCACCCCTCCCGGGCCCGGCACGGCCACGTCGGGCCTCTCGCTGGCACCGAACACCACATCGTCCGCCGCCCGCACTGTCACCCCGCCCAGCGCCGCGATGCCGGTCATCCCCACCAGCATATCCACGCCCAGTGGTTTGTCCGGCACTACCACGGCGCTGAGCGTCACCGCGGGCCCGCCGCTCTTCAGCTGAACCGCCACCTCCGTTACTCCGCTGCTTGGCAGCCGGGACCCGTTGACGGCCATTACAGTCACGCCGCACCGTCTCCAGCTCGCGCAGCACGACTCGTGGATGATGGTGCAGCTGCAGCCCGAGTCGATAACAGCCACTCTGCGCTGCCCATTCACCAGCAGCTGCACCGTCGGTAGCGCGCCTCTTACTCTTGGGCTGCCCGAGAGGAGGTTGGCGCAGACACCGCCTCTCCTGACGCGTTTCCCGGCATCCGTTCCGGGCAGCGTGCCGCGGCGTGTCCTGGCTGCTCGCACCGGAAACAGATGATGTCCGCTCTCCTCTCCGCCCGGCAGTCACGAGCGAAGTGACCGGCTCGACCGCAGCGGTAACACCGTGATGACGCCGGCGTGTGGCGGGAACGGGCCGGCGCAGCGGCGGCAGCGGCTGCAGCGACGGCATTCTCTGCCATCAGCGCCCGAGCCCGCTCCACCAGCTCGGCCAGCGTCAGGCTCTCCATGCGGCAGCCGGCCCTCAAGGTATGCCTCGCCGCATCCGGGAGACCGGCCACGAAGCCGCACATCAGCGCCGTGTCGCCGAGCCCGCCGAACAGGGAGGCCAGCCGCCGCAGGTCTGCCAGGTAGACGTCGACGCTCTCGCCGACACGAAGTCTTCTCGCCGTGAACTCCTCGTACGCCTGGAACTTATCCACAGCGAACGCCCGCAGCAGGGCAGCTTTGACGGCAGAGTACTGCAGCTTCTCCTCGGGCTTCAGCTGCTGGTAGACGCTGAAGGCTCCGCCGGTCAACCGCAGGGGGACGACGGTTTGAATGTCGGACACTCCGCGCAGCTGACAGACGAGCTCCGTCTTATCCAGCCACTCTTCCACAGAGGCGTTACCGCCATCGAACTCGGGGATTAGCCGCATGTCCAGCGCCGAACTTGCCACAGCGCTTTCCTGTGACATGGTTGCCGAAATAGCTTGTAGTAATGCAAAAAGTCCAGTACACTCAGATGCCTCTATTCACACCCGTACCCGCTCGTGTCCCGGAGCGCACTGCCCGGCTTCACCACATTAGCCTAGATCATACCTCTGTACACGTCATATCACGTCATATCACGTCATTCTGAACCCTAGACAAAGGCTGATCAATTTCTCCCTCCGCCGACTCACCGTCGCCATAAGACCCTGGCTCGCAATACGACGCGCACCATCATCGCTCGAACCACGCAATGACTAAGACACAGACTACACAGGTCACTGAGGGTCGGGTCAGGCAAATAAGTATCATGGGTGAGATCGTAGCGGGTGTCACCACACACCGGTGCTAATGTTTTTGCGCGTCGACCTCGCCAAGAGAGCTCAACTTTGTTCATACATCATGGCGCCCCTGGTGCCTGACTGTCATGAACTTCCATTGGTGTCTACATAATTTTCCAGCATTATTCAGCAGATATCACCGGAATGTTATCAGACAATGAAATAGTTTGTCTCGGGAGACGGCGTCTCGCGTCGCTGGCAGAATAAATACTAATAGAAAATGATGTGAGTCGGAGGGATATGTCATGCTCGGCTGTTCAGTGATAATCTCAATGCAAATAACCAATTAGGTACATAGTGCATCAGGAAATAAGATGGGGAAGGACGACGAGTGACGGGGCTCATTGAAATAGGGTGGTAGCTAGGGGCCGTTGAATGAAAAGACAAGTGCGTTCAGTCGACCACAAATGATGTTCTACTTCTCACAGGCAGTCGGTTACCTGGAGTGGTAGGCTGTGCCGCACCACACGGGCTGAGCTCGCCCGTAATAGGGGTGGGGGGTCAAACGGACCCGCCCGGTTTTTCGCGAAACACTCGCGTAAAAGCGGCCGATCGGGACGAAAATTTCAG